AAGGTATTTTTGGTTCGTAAAGGCTAAACGTGTGCCTTTTTGCATGGTTTTCTAATGGTTAAAAATTATGCATGCGAAACTATTCTATTGGATAGACGAGGAGGGGTTATAAAGCTACTTTGCTAAAGTTTTAACGACCTGATCTACCACTTCTAAAATAAAATAAAAGAAAATTTTGAAATTTTAAAAAATTATGTCTATTAATAAATTGTATTTACATGACATGATTTTTTCACGAACATTGTATTGTACTTGTGCAAAGTTTAACATTTATAAATAAAACTAATTTAAAATATATAAGTATACTTACAATTTTATAAAGTTAAATTAAATTTAAAATCTACCTAAATTAAAAATACAATAATTAAATATTATCTAATTTCAAAACGAGACATGAAGTCAGGTTATCCGACATTTCTTCACCAGTGAAGTCATGTCTTACGAACACAATGCATAATCTTTGTACATTTTGTCTATTTTCATATAGAATTTTTAAAATTATATGGTGTGGATGAAAAAACAAAAAAAAGTTAAATTAATATTTTTATAAATTAAAATTACCTAATGTATAAATTAAAAGTAAACCTTTAACAAAAATTGAAAATTTTAATTGTTAATCGTTCAACACCAGAACTTGTTGATCACTGCATGGATATCATAAACATAGAAACTCATGGAAGAAGTAAGTGATACCCAATTTCTGCCACCGAAAATTTCTTGAGTTTCCTCACTATTTAACTTGCTTTGTTTTGATGGTTCCGCAACAACGGCTGGAACGGACGCAACCATGGCATGTAGATCCAAATGGTAAGGCAAAACATAATCATCATTTTGTTATAATATTTTTGAGGAACAGCATTTGTGATTTTGCGAGCAAAACAGGACCCATGTACTTCAACGGATTCTACCATTTATTCTATCAATACAATCCGAACGGTTCGGTGTGGGGGAACATAGTGTGGGCACACTCAGTATCGAAGGATCTGATAAACTGGGAAGCTGTTGAACACGCGCTGTACCCATCCAAGTCTTTCGACAAATATGGGTGTTGGTCGGGTTCGGCGACAATAGTCCCAGGTATTGGACCCGTAATCCAGTACACTGGAGTCGTAGACGAGAAACAAACTCAAGTCCAGTGTTACGCAATACCCGAAGACCTCAAGGACCCGTACCTCCGGAAATGGGTAAAACCCGATGGTTCCAACCCGTTTGTGGTCGCCGACAACCCTGTGAACGGTAGTGCGTTTAGGGACCCGACAACGGCTTGGTGGAGCAAAGATGGACACTGGAGAATAGTGGTGGGTAGCAGAAGGAAGGCTAGAGGAGTGGCTTATATGTACAGAAGCAAAGACTTTAAGAAATGGGTTCGGTCCAGACACCCGCTCCATTCGAGGAAAGACACGGGTATGTGGGAGTGCCCCGATTTTTACCCCGTTTCGCTTAAAAGCAATTTGGGGTTGGACGCGTCGGCGGAGGGAAATCAAACGAAACAAGTGCTGAAAAATAGTCTTGATTTGACTAGGTATGAGTACTACACTGTGGGAACATATCGTAGGGATAAGGATAGGTATGTTCCTGACAAAACATCAGAAGATGGTTGGGGTGGATTACGGTATGATTATGGTAATTTTTATGCTTCCAAGTCCTTTTTTGATCCTAGCAAGAACAGAAGAGTGATATGGGGTTGGGCAAACGAGTCTGATACCAAAGAAGACGATGTTCGTAAAGGATGGGCAGGGATTCAGGTACTGCATTTAAGTTACTTTTCAGGAGATTAACGTTGTTTTGATTTCAGTGTTTTGTTTGCATTTTGCATAGGTTTTTTTTGTATGTATTTCAATATGCATTTGAATGTGTGTTGAAATAATCAGGCGATTCCACGAACGGTGTGGCTGGATCCAAATCAGAGGCAATTGTTACTGTGGCCAGTTGAAGAATTGAATAATCTTAGAGGAAAAGAAGTTAACATGAAAAATCAGAAGCTTGGGAAGGGAGAGAAAGTTGAAGTAAAAGGAATCACTGCTGCACAGGTAACATGTTTAATAGGTCTAAACATGTTGAATTAAAAAACTTCATGTTGAATTAATTACAAACGAAGATAAAAGTGTATTGTATATGATTGCAGGCAGATCTGGAGGTTGAATTTTCAATTCCAAATTTGGAGAAGGCAGAGAAATATGATGACAAGTGGGTTGATGCACAGGAAGCTTGTGCCAATAAGGGTTCAAATGTGGAAGGTGGTGTTGGACCATTTGGGCTTTTGACTTTGGCTTCTGAAAAGCTGGAGGAGTTTACTCCTGTGTTTTTCAGAATTTTCAAAGATAAAAAGAAGCATGTCATTCTCATGTGCTCTGATGCAAGAAGGTTAGTGTGATTAAATTTGGGATAAGAACATTAATTTTCTGTCGATTTAAAAACTAATTTGTTATTTTGAACAGATCGTCTTTAAAGGGTGATTTGTATAAACCGACATTTGGTGGTTTTGTGGAATTGGATTTCACAAAGGATAAGAAAATTTCTCTTAGGAGTTTGGTACGTGCAAATATGTAACAATTACTCTATTTGGTTTTTTATGTGACATTTATTAGAACTGATTAATGTTTTTTATTGTGTTAACTAAATGACAGATTGATCACTCGGTAGTGGAAAGTTTTGGAGCAGGAGGAAAGACAGTCATATTGTCTCGAGTTTATCCACAGCTCGCAGTGTTAAAACAAGCTCATCTTTTTGTGTTCAACAATGGCACTGAACCAATCAACATGGAAAAGCTAAAAGGATGGGACATGAAATCTGCTCAAATAAAATGATTAGCTAGAAATCAATTAGTATGCAGAAGATAATATATACCTTATCACATACATTGTAAACAAAAAGAAAAAGTAGAAACAAAATCTTCTTCACATTTTTTTATCACACAAAGAAGAACGAAGAGCATCATGTTTAGAAAAATGTGATCAGAAGATACTGTTTTAGGCTTTTATGTTATTTTACTTTAGTAGATTAAGAGTTCCAAATTGTACTACCACTATAGTTATGTGTATTAAATGACATTGGAGTTTGATTATCTGGGTATAAAATAACTTGTACTAATAAGTAATATCCTCACATTCAAAAGAATATAGTTTTTACCCTAGTTCAAAAGTACAGATTGGACCTAAGGTATTATTATTCATATCTATCTGTTACATGTATTCAATTTCTAACATTTGACGTACAATAACCTAAAATTATATAAAAATAAATAAATAAAGAAGAGAAGAGTGTGTGAAAATATCATTGATATAAAAAAATGTTTAAATATTTTTTCCTAAAATGAGTCGGTCTTTTCTTTTTGGTGAATAAATTTTTTATTTGACTTTTGGTTACTGGGATTTCTTTTTTTTTTTTTCTGTCCTTGTAATTAATACATCATTAGTTTTAATTCTTATCATGAAGTGTATAAAAATAATAACTTGTAAAAATTATCTTATTTAATTTTAGATATTTATAGGAAAATTGCTAAATATATATTTAGTTCCTTTTAATATATATTTTTTATTTCTATCGTCTTAGGTGTAACAATAATAAAATTGTCACATTATAAAAATATACCAAAATTTACATTTTGAAAAGAAAGTGATATTTAAATAAATTAAAAATTTTAAAATATAATTTATTCTTAAATAACTAGAAAACACGTAAAACTAGCATCGACAACTTCATAATTCCAAATAATTTGACAATTCTATTTGAAAATTGTTCCAAATCTTATATTTCATTTTAGTTCCTCATGACATTTTAATAGACCGATCTACTATAAAGAGGTTATATATATATATATATATATATATATATATATATATACTGGTATTGTAAAAAATTCAAACATAAAAAATTTTGGCAGAGCCCATACGCATTACTAGTGAAAGAGGGTCCTTTATAAAATGATTGTAATAGATGAAAATTACGACTACAGAATAAAATAGGATGTTCAGCTAACAATAAAAATATAACTAACAAAATCACTCAATAAAGCTTTCAAATTATCACGACATAAAATACAATTACACAATTATTGTGGATTATTATAAAAGAAGGACTCTTTACATTTCCCTTTACTAAATATTCCAATCTTTCATCAGCGATTAGTTGATCGCTTAAACCTTAATAAGACAATTAAACTCATCCATGAATTATTGTACTACCGATTGATCACAAAAATTTCATATTTGATTATCAAATAGCTTTCAACGGAGAAAATCATGATCAAACATAAATAACTCAATAAACAAACTAAATTTAAGACTATACCAAGCTGAATTATTTAAATGTATACAATAACTAAACAGTTAATTTACCACGAAGAGCAACAATGAAAAAAGTAAATCAAAATATGTAGTACGCATAATCCAATGATCGAATAAGCAGAAAATTAGAAAGTGTTTACATTGCTACATCATTGCCGAGCACAGTTCGTTATACTGAACTAGATATCTACTCCGGCTTTCAACAAGATAAAAGAGGCATTAATGAAACTTATAGGATGCTGCAATCGCTATGTATTTGTTTGAAGTGTTGGATTATAAAACACTTATAAATTTTATTATTATAATCTTCCCTTCTGTTTTAAGTTGAAGGCTATAATTTGTTAATAGTAACGTGAACAAGAGAATATGCAATTGTAAAATCGACTAAAAGAATGCAATCGAATATGGATGTGAAAAGGAAGCATAATTTAATGTCGTCATCATAGCAATATAACTGACCACTACAAAAATATCCACCAAAACATGTCACATTAATAAAACCAAACCAAAGACAATTAACGACAGGTATATAAATCAACAAACCAGTCCAGTCCCAAATCCACAACGAACAAGAGACCGACAACATCAACCAAGATTTACTTGATCTTCTTCTTTGGCCTCAACTGCAAGAACGAAATGTTCAAAACGTTTTCAACATATTGGAATAAAAAAAAGGACCATGTTCAAAAACTGCTCAAAATCATGGAATAAACATGACAAGTGGTATAATTAACATAGACTGACCTGATTACTGTGGCCACACTTTTTCTTGCGGCAGTTCACAGCCCTTGGGTGAAGACGAGCATAGCATCTAACAAACCAAAAACAGGATATTGAGAACAGCAAAACTTTCATATCAAATGAAAAGATGTTTCACTAATAAAAAAACAAATAGGAATCAAGAAAGAATGTACCAACCATGAAAATCAACTGTGAATAATAAACCACAGTTAACAAAGTAGAGAAGGATATTAATATAGGGAGCAATTATAACCCCTCTTCCATTGTAAAAAAACAGGGGCTAAGTTATCGTCCCATTAAAAGACAAGTAAAAATAATAGAGAGCACATACTTGCGGCAAATCATCTTGTCTTGGTTGTACTTGCGAGCCAAAGCCATGAGCGAAGGCTCAATGATTCCACCACGAAGCCTGAGGACAAGGTGAAGGGTAGATTCCTTCTGAATGTTGTAATCGGCCAAGGTCCTCCCATCTTCGAGCTGCTTCCCAGCGAAAATCAAACGCTGTTGATCCGGAGGAATACCTAAGCATTCATTCAACGAAGATTGATTATGTCATAGAAATTGAAATTGTGATCAATGGAGTTAGGAATAGGTTGTTACCTTCCTTATCTTGAATCTTGGCCTTGACATTGTCTATGGTGTCACTACTCTCAACCTCGAGGGTTATGGTCTTCCCCGTTAGGGTTTTCACGAAAATCTGCATATTTGCTTCTCCCTCTTTTCTGCTGCTGCTTCACTATGACTTAACAAATGCCGAACCAAAGCCTTTTATATTCTCCTTCCTAGGGTTTCAAATTACTGAGGCTGGGCCTTGGTTTTTATGGACTCAGGCCCACTCGTTATGGCAGTTTTGTATTGTTGGGCTGGATTTTGATTAGTGACTGAATACTCAAATATTTGCATGAAGGGCATGTTTGGGTACAGGTGCAATTTTTAAGAGTTTTTCTACTTAAAATATAAAAGTTTTTATTTTTATTTTTCACATAAGAATCCCTCAAAAGTCTTCTAACCTTGCATCTTAACCGTCTGAATCTTTTATGTTGTCCTTATCAGTTATATTATTTAAACGGATGAAGTTTAAAACATAAAAACAAACTAAGGAATAATTTTTTGTGACCTTAATTTTCTTTTTGAAATAATGAAAGTTGCAAAAGTACAATCAATGAAAATCTTTGCTGCTCCCTGTTTATTCTTTTATAAATTAACCTTATCATGACAATGTTGAATAGATAATGATGTAAACAAAATTACATTGTTAATAATTATTTGGTATAACTTTTGTTTGTTTTGTTTCCAATTTTCAAATGTGTGTTCATAAACAATGAAAACAATTTTCAACCCATTTTGATGACACTAAAATAAATATTAAGAAGATAAGTGACAAAATAATATCATATTATACTGACACAGCAGATAATAATTTACAACGAGATATAATAATTATCATAATAAACCCAGTCCACTAAATGAAAATTTAAAATGTAACCACACTATAATTTTTAAAATTAGAGCACATTTAAAGATGAACATGCATACATATATCGTAACAGTTAAGATACCAAAAAATAAGAGTTGGGAAGTGCACTTAACAGTTGTGTATACTTATAGTGTGGTTTAAAAATCTGGCACAAGGATATTCAAATATACAATGAATTGTGTATAAATTATTTAGTACTATATAAAATTGCACATAACCAATTTATTAGCCGCCAACCTTTTGGGCTTATTGTTAAGATTTTCCACTCTGGACGCAACAATTTTCAATCACTAATGCCTCGAGCTCATAATCTCAAGAACACAGAATTTTGGGAGCCATAATCTCAAGAAGTCCCTTTGGGCTGTCCACATGAACCCAATGACCAGCATTCGGAAGAACACAGAAGGAAACTTTTCCCAAAGAGTCGGATCCTCGCTCACTGGCTAGTTTCTGGATTCTCTCAATAGCATCTTTGTCCCATCTATCACTTTTTTCAGCACGCAAAATTATTATTTCCATACCTTTGGGAGGCTGCTCCAGAAGATTCCAGTACGACTTTTCGCTGCATAATTGTAACGTTGAAGATTTGTTACTTTTGGCCGTGGAGGAAGATCACAGAAAGCATTCTAGAAAATAAAAGGCTTAAATAAACTTTCCACACATCTGTTTCGAATAACTGTTTTCTATTTCTATTACTTATTTCAAATATTTGTGTAAAAGATCATTTCAAATGTTTTTACTCAAACTAAACGATGCTTCATTTACCAGTAAGAATCGAACATCTCTTTAGCATTTTCAAGATCAAATATCCACGTCTCATGATCACCAACTTTTTTCACGTTGGTACCTATCCAGTCCGACAGTGCTTTAGAGTAACCAAGTTCCATAAGATGACTAACAAGCCACCTGCAAAAAGGTGCAGTGTATATTTTAGTCCAACAATTGGCACGAGGAAGATTCGTATACAGTACATTTTTTTATAGTGTTTGGTAATCAATACACTGCACTTTCAATAAGTTTCAAGACCTCAGTCAGTACTTTTGGATGTTAGACAAACAATCCGGTCATCAAAAGGAAATGAAGAAAGAACCTAGAGTCTCTTTCCTTCGGCAACATCAATAACCTCAATCACCATGCTTAAAATGTCAAAAAAGCATTTGTAGATTTACACAGTACATCAAATGCAATATCCAACACTGTGACCGGCACTCTATTTCATTATATAGAAAAAAGCAGATTATATACACGAAAAATGGGAAAATGAATAATTTTCAATCTACAGTCTCTAAGATCCCTAGGAAGACACAAAATTATCTTCAAACGTACTGATTATAATACATTCATCATATATCTTGTACTACTAAAATGCTACTAAAGGAAGAAACATATATCTTGACATAGATAATGTCCACTCGGTAAACCAAAAGTTATTACTGGCCTAGCATCATAACAAAAGGGTTCAGGGATATAGAGTCTCACTTGCGAGATGGGAATTGTTTTGGTAAACTTTGCAAGGTTGCTAGAACATCCCGGACTTCATCGTTTCTGTTTTCAGGGTTCACTTTACCAGGGACAGAATCCAATACCCAGAGCTGTTCTTCAGGAGGGATAAAAAAGAAACACAAAGAGGACTTCAGGCCTATAGTAAAAATGCTTCATTTTGAAATCCATAATACGATTCTTGAAAAACAGCAGAATTTGAGACAGAGAGAAAGTGAAAGAATTTATTAAGCTGAAAACTTTTATCCAAATCAGATTTCGAGGTAAAAAACCAGCTCTGTTCTACAAAGATCCGACAACAGTGAGGTAAAATGTTTTGCCTCAGATGCCCATGAAACTGGCTTTGGATCAACTTGAGCTCAACACGAATGTTTTAGTATTTTAATTCATCTTCAATTTAAGATTGATTTCATTAAAATCAGACCTGTTCTACCCGGATACAAGAACAGAGGGACAACATTAGTTTCCAACTGTGTAACCTACATTTAATAATCTTAATTAACTACGAGATTTACCAAAATTATTATCACAAAAAGAATGCAACACAATTTTGAATATTAATTTTACAGCAACTCTCCATATATAATTCAAAATTCAATTCAGCAGCATATATATATATATATATATATATCTTTTCTTAACAACTCGGTCTCACATTCAAGAACCCGTCAAGTAGCCTTACAACCTTTGATTAAAGAATAAAACATCTCATTACCATCTTAGTAGCTTGGAAAAAGATGATGGTGATTATTCAAGCAATTTGAGTTAGGCTTAAAATCCACTTCTTAACATGGTATCACTGGTAAGATATTATCCGCTTTGGGTCAAGCCTTCACGGATTTGCTTTTGGTGTCCCGAAGGCCTCTTACCAATGGAGGTATCTTAAGTGTATATAAACTCATGTCCATCTCTTATTTTATTCGATGTGGGACTTTGTTTATACCCAACACCCTCCCCTCAAACAAAGGACTATGGTTCTTCTATCTCCCCTACAGCGGAAGTCTTTTCTTATCCTCGAGTACACCATGGTCAACACTGAGCATCTCTTTGCCCTCTTTCACGATCCATGGTCACAACTGAGCCTGGTCAAACCTGAACCATGGGCTCTGATACCATATTAGAAAGTGGTTTTTTAAACCTAACTCAACCCCACAAAACCGACTTGTATGGTGAGGTTTGGACCCCACTTATATATTATAATTTGGCCTTATCTCTAGTCGATGTGGGACTTCCAACACACACTCTTCACGCCGAGGTATAGACATCTCGAGCGTGAGAGTACAATTAATGGGTGGTCAGATAACGACCCAACAACGGGTGGAACAGAATGTCCACATAGATCTCGCTATGATAGGATTTAATCATGACTCTGATATCATGTTAAGAAGTGGATTTTAAGCCTAACTCAACACCACAAAACCAGCTTATAAGGTGAGGTTTGCACCCACTTATATACTATGAATTGGCCTTATCTCTAGTGGATGTGAGACTTCCAAAACAATAAATAACTAATATTACAGTTGGACAAAAATATGGATAGAAGATGGGAAAAAAGAGTCGCTCAAGAGGAGTTGAAGCCCTACTCTCCCTTTTTCTAAAAATGGTCGTGTTCTGTGTATAGTAATGGACTTTATGCAAAGCTTTCAAAGTAAGTTTTGGCTTCAACAAGTTCAATTTTTAGGGCATGTGGTGTCCAATTACTCGATCTTACTAAAGTAGAAGCAGTAATATGACGGAGCCAATCCACTACACCTACAAAAGTAGAAGTTTCCTAGGATTGGTAGGGTATTATAGAAAGTTCATTGAAGGTTTTTTCAGATTTAATCTTTAAATTAATTGCCATTAAGCAAGGCTTTTTGACAAATATACAAGCGCTACTCCAAGAATTGAGGTAAATGATGTTGAACTTCCCACAAATGCCTGTTAAACCATGCAAGCGTACCAAAATTAGATATGGGCTCTAATACAATGTCAGAGTTCATCTTAAAACTAATTGCCATTAAGTGAAATTGTCCAAATGATATATATTTCACATTTTAAGAATTGAGGCAGCTGAGCTGATGCAAGACTTCCCAACAAGTTTCTCTTGATTGACAGTACCCTTTGACTAAAAAAGGGCATGAATTAATGTGGAATACAACATAAATTTATGGCTAATAGAATTTAGTTTAAGGATCTTGTGTATGTTTCTTGTGGAAATAATATGTTATTGTGAAAAATAGGAATGTAGAATAATACGGATGTAACCCCTATAATACACGCACTAGAATTCAACATGGAATCTACTACCAATTTCTGATGCTTTACAAAATTTTGAAGTATTTGTGCATCAAAGGCCGATATTATCAATTCAAATGTCAGGCTAGGAGTATTATACGTCAAATGAATACAACGATAACAGCATTGCATAGAGCGGAATTTCCCGAATCCACAATTGTGACTTTGTCCGTTATTGCAGCCATTATCGTTGCAATGGTTGTATCATGTGTCATGCATCCTCTTGTCATCTATAGTCAGTCTACGGCAAATTCTTGAGATAATCCTAAAAGCTAATTTTCATGCATTTTATTCTAAGTTGCATACAACTTATTTTTTTAAACATATACAGTTGACGTATAAAATTTCAACCACTTTCTAACTTGCACCATGTCTGCGACAATACTGTCCGCTATATGATGTAAGGGATTATCCATTATGATATCTGCAAAATTGATAACATTGTAGTCCACTAAAAGGAAGAGTTATATAGTTCGAGTATAACATCAATTAGTGCATTCTACTCAATACAAGACTCCAAAGTCCTCTAGTTTGTGGTATAACAACATATGTTGTCCCTCTTTTACAATTTACCATACACTCACAACAATGTAAAACATGACTCAAATCAACTGCTAAATAACTTATCATGGCATCAGGAACAGTTTTCTGTTTAGTTAACTATGGTTAGTTTAGAGTTTGTTATTCCTTTTTTTGTATCATGAGCTCCTATATAAACTTGCTCCATGCACCTTCTTTAGGCGTGAAAAATGAAATATTCTCATCTTTCAAAGTTCACTGCATGATATTGTATTCAACTGTTGAAAATATAACTAGCTATTACAATAGAGAAGAGAAGAGAAACCTGTTTAGGAGACAGAACAGAATGGCCATAGTCACCGCGGCTACAACTCTCAGCAAACTGCAAAGCAACCTTTCCACCCATGGAGTGACCTACGACGACCTCAGGCCAAGGCCAGTCTTCAGCCTTTACCAAATCGGCCAAATCTTTGGCCGCAGATTCAATATTGTGAGGCGGATTCAGTTCTCTCTCCGTCGATTTCCCGTGGTTCCGCATATCCAACATCACCGTCCTCCAATCTGCACGGAAAGAAAATCGATAAATGATAATGCGATTCAGAGTTACAAAAAAAAAGGAACATGAGAGTCGAGCGCGAGGTACTGCTAGAGGGAGAGGAATTGGAGAGAGAGGCCAAGAGGTTGCGAGAAAAGGAGCGCCAGTTTCTGGAGGATCCCAAAAAGCCATGGATGAAAACGGCCGTTGAAGTGTAAGGCTTCTCCGGATTTGCTCGCAATTCCTCGTAGGCTATGGTTTGTAACCACCTTGGACGAGGGAGAGTTGCTGAGTTGAGGAAGCGAGTTAGGAGAAGGGAACTGTTTCTGATTCTCAGAGATGCTGCCATTCTCTGCTTTGTTTTTCCTTTTACTGGGCTTTTGAAGACACATGATAACTAACTATCGCCCTAGTTTAGGGTAGAAGTTTAGTTAAAAAATAATTTATTATAAGAGAAAAAAATAAAATATAATTTTGACAGCTGTGGGATTTGAACCCACGCCCTTTCGGACCAGAGCCTAAATCTGGCGCCTTAGACCACTCGGCCAAACTGTCTCATATTTTTATAAATGTTTAATTCTACAATTCTAAAATCTCATTTACACTTTCAAAAATTTCATTTTTATGCATTTCCAACTTTTTCAAAACTTTATTTCTAATTTTAATAAATATTTTCCAATTTTTTTTCTTTTTTATTAAAAACAATCTTAACTATCTTAATAATAATTTAATTTAATTTAATTTAAAATTTAAATATTATTTAAAATAATTTTGTATTTTAATAATTATTAAAATATAATTTATATTATAATAATAGTTATATTAAAAACATAAAAATAAAATAAAAATAATAATAATAATAAATAATAATAATAAGTTTGATTTAATATATTCAAATATATTAAATTATAATAAAATATTAAAATAAATTAAATAATTATTAAATTTTAAATAAAAATGAAAATTTTAAAAAACTTATTTATATATTAAAATCTATAAAATATGTTAATACTTTTGCTTTTTATTTAAAATTTAATAAATATTAAACTTAAATAAAAATTATAAAATTACTTATTATATTTTTATATTTTAATAATTAATAAAATATAATTTATATTTTTAAAATAGTTTTATTAAGAAAATTGAAAAA